ACGGCGTGGGTCGAGTGGTGGCATCCCACAACTTTATGCACGGGGTGTTGAAGTCCTAAACCCCAGGGCCTTGGGACACGACCTTATTGAAAATAGTGCTGTTGCAACACAAGAATGAGCCAAAATAAGGCGTGCGGACAGAGAGCGGATCCTTGATCCAATGTGACCGCTGTCCCGTAAGACAGAAATCTGGGCCCTGACAGAGGCAGCAGCTGAAGAATTTGCACACCGAGGAACATGAAGCCAAGAAGAGGCAAGGGAGGACCCCCTCAGCTGCTGGTTTCACAGGTATTGTGGGTTTGCTGATACCCTGATTTCAGGCTTTGAGCCTCCTGGACTTCCAGCCATGGATTTTTGTTGTTTAGACCACCTGCTCCGGCACCTTATTCCAGCAGCCTGTGGAACCAACAGAGGGAAAATACCTGTGGTGACGTGTCTCCTAGAGCACAACAGGTGCTTATGGATATATATAGATATAGATAGATAGATAGATAGATAGATACATATATATATTTTGAGACAGGGTCTCACTACATAGTCCAGGCAGGCCTTGACCTCACTATGTAGCCCAGGCTGGCCTCCAACTCATGGCCATCCTCCTGCCTCAGCCTCCCAAGTGCTGAGGTGACAGGCATGTGCCACCACTCCTGGCAGATAATATATTTTTAAAGGAACCGGAAGACTGGCCTTTCTCCCTCATTCTCAATCGCTTAAGTTTTAATCCACTTAGACCACTTCCAAATTCCAGTCACAAATCATGGCTTTATTTTTCCCTGCTCTTTCTGACAACTTTAAGAAGAGGTCCTACAAAAAAAATCACCAGCGAAATTAATTTCAGTCAAAAGTTATTACTGAGTCAGGATGTGAGTGGGTTACACATTCAAAACAGCACCTCTTAATAAGATGAAACTTTTTTCTACAAAGAATCTTAGAACTTGGGACATGCACTCACCTTTCACCCATGGACAGGTGGTGACGGTAAATGATATGACTTCTTTCCCTGCTTCATATCTTAGACACAGTTAGGCGTTTTAGTCCCCACAGCAGCCTGAACTAACAGATCAGTTTGTGATTCAAAAGAGAAACCTTTTCTAACTACCACCACATTTCAGTACAAAGTAGCTAAGACTCATTTTTGACAATGTTTCCAACTCATCTATAGAAAACAGATACAGTGTGGTGATGCATGCCTGTAATCCCAACACTCAGGAGGCTGAGGCAGGAGGATCCTTATGAGTTTGAGGCCAGCCCAGGCTACAAAGTAAGCTCAAGGCCAGCCTGAACTGCATAATGAGACCCTGTCTCAAAAACACAAAAAATAAAAAAATAAAAAAACACACAGATACAATCTTGTCATGAAAGTGGCTGAGGCTGGGGTGTGACTTTCTGAGGGACTCAGTCACCTCTAGTGCCATCTCTATACCAGGTGGTAGGCAGCCCTCCTGAAACTGGGGACACTGTCGCCATGATTGTGAAAGCTGTCTTGGCCATGTGGATAAGACACACTAAAATCTAACACTGGTGTCAAGACTCGTGTGTTCCCATAAATTCACTGAAAAGAGCAATGGGTGGGACAAACTCCACTCAGCCTTCAGTGGATGATGCCATCTAGAAGGGAGCGCACAGGGAGTGAGAAGCACTGGCCCCAGGAACACGAAGACCGAGGCCCTCCCGGGATGCAGACCTCCGACTAGGTGGGGTCTGGAGAGAAGGACAGTGCGCATCCAGGAAAGGTGCCCGGAGAGGAACGAAAACTCACCAAGTGAAACTTTCAATCCTGGGAGAGCTGAGACGTGGCTAACAGTCCAAGGATCAACAAGGATCAGAGGAAGCCAGCTCCCAGGAGCGGTGTTGGTGGCTCGCTGCCCTCCCTCCGGGCCCACTCGAGAGAGCAAGGGTCGAACAGAAAGGGAGGACAGACAGCCTACGACAGCCCACGACAGCCTGCTAACGGCAACCACAGATGCTCCTGCGGTGAGGTGTACACTAGGAAGCGGGGGACAGGACAATAGGCAAGGGCGGAAGGGGGAAGGACAAACTGCCCAGAGCACTGGGAATCAGCACCAGTCCATGAAACAGGAACTAAAAAACCACAACCGCAACCCCAGCTTTCCTACCACTGAAGCCAACGTCAGTGACCAGAAACCAATACGCAGAAAAATAAAAGGAGGTTCTGGAGCTCGCTCACCAGCTTAGAAAAATGAATTTCAAACCAGATTCCTACCCCAAAGTAATCTACAGTTGTCACTGACTTTTCTGCAAAAGAAATAAACAGTGGGGATGCATAGGATGCTTTCTTTACTATGACACTGTAGAGGCCCCCAAGCGCCCCCAGACCCCCCTTCTCCACCACCCAGGCAGGCTCATTCTTTCATGTTCAATGCCACCCTCGTCGTCCTCTCTGCTGTTTTCTCACCAGTTATACAGCTCTTAAAAAAAGAAAAGTCGGGGGTGGTAGCGCACACCTGTAATACCAGCACTCAGGAGGTTGAGGCAGGAGGATCATTGCAAGTTCAAGACCAGCCCAGGCTACATAAATGAGCTCAAGGACAGCCTGAACTTCATAGCGAGGTCCTTAACACGTTTATCCTAGCCAGCCGCAGCACCACACACCTGTAACACTGCCTACTGGGGAGGCTGAGGCAGGAAGATCACAAGTTCAAGCATGGCCTGGGCCACTTAACGAGACCCTGTCTCAAAACATAAACCAGGCGTGGTGAGCACACCTGTGATCCCAGCGCTCTGGGAGGCAACGGCAGGAGGATCACAAGTTTGAGCCCAAGGTGGGCAACTTAGTGATTGAGCAAGACCTGTCTCAAAATGAGATGGGGTGAAATGAAATGAAACAGAAAGTAAAAAGGGGTGGGGATGCAGCTCAGGGATACTTCCCTGCGTTTAATCCCCAGGACAGCAAACCAACAAAACATTCTTATTGCCCCATCTTGTGACACGGTAAACTCATCTGATCCATTCTGCTCCTGCTCTTTTCTAACGCAGGGGACTGGGGTCTGGGTTTGATATCCGGGGCAGATAAGGCATCTCACGGTGCTGCGACACAAACAAGCAACTAAGCGCTCAGCAGCAGTCAGGCCGCCCGGCTCTTGCTTGTGAACTGCAAACCTCCGCCTCAGTTTCCCTGTTGTAGCACCCCCTGGCGGCTGAGTAAACAGGACCATGGGAGGGAAGCACTTAGCCCATCACAAAGTCCAATTCAGAGCTGTTCATAATCTTCAACGGTCCGTGCACTTTTTATTGTGGTAAAATACAAAGCTCTTCATCTTAGCTACTGAAAGTGTCCAATCACTGACACTGACAGTGCTGGGCAACTGTCACCAAGCATTTTCAGCTCCCTAAAGAGAAACCCCGTATCCCCTCGGCAGTCCCTCCCCGGGCTCCCCACTTTCCTAGCTGACAAACACCAACCTGCTTCCTGTCTCTAGGGTCATGAACTTTCAAATAATATTAGCAGTTGCTCAGAACAGTTTTCTAGCAGGGAGTGAAGCTTCATCCTCACCGCGGAATCTCAGCTCACCAGACAATGGCAATGCTTTTTCTCCAGCACACCTGTGACCGATTAAGGTAATTCTCTAACCAGTCTGAGGCAGAAATCCCCTCAGTTGCTAGGTTAGAGATCACTCTTTGGAGAGACATCCACCTTGGGTGCCTTCAAGCGGCAGAATAAGCAAGCCCAGTAAGATCCCACTCCATTAACATCCGGGAGCGTCATTAAACCATCCAACCCTCCTAAAAAGTGAAGGCAGAACACTGAGTGGTTGCTCGGTTGGTGGCACACGACCATACTCCCAGCACTCAGGAGGCCGAGGCAGGAGAATCACTGCGAGTTTAAGGCCAGCCTGGGCTATGCAGTGAGTTCGAAGCTAGCCTGAACTACATAGGGAGACCCTGTCTCAGACAAACAAACGAAACGAAGTGATTATTTTCTAGCTTTGCATTTGGAAACTCTGCTTTTGCGACTACAAACTTGTGCCATCAAGAAGTTAAAAAAAAAAGAACCAGAACTCCATTTCTTGGTTTTCGGAGTGTCATTTCCTCTTGGGTCCCACCCCTCCCACCCTTCCTTTGGGGTGTGGATGTGGGCCGAAATAACTCAGCTCCTCCCAGCAGTTCCCGAGCTGCTCCCCAGCTTTCAGGGAAATGACAGGGCGGCTCGCCGGCGGCGAAGCAGCACGCTTTTCCTAGGGCACACCGGGAAGGCAGACGGCTTCTCCGCCAAAGAAATCCTCGGCGCCAAGATGCCCTGAAGGCTGGGACTCAGAGGCAACGACTGCAATCCCAGCCGAGGAAGCCACATTTGTTTTTTAATAAGCAGCAGGGCTGGAGATGAAGGTCAGAGGTCCAGAGCTGGGCTCTGGGTGTGATCTCCAATACCAAGAGTGAAAAGGGCAACCCTGATCACCGACACGCAGGCAGCCAAGTTTCAGTCCTTCCCCTCCCTTACCTGGCTGCCGCGGACTGGAGGTGAGGGGGCCGCGGAGCAAGGCCGGGGCGCTGGCTTTCTTTTGCGGGAGGAGGAGGAGGAGCAAGGGTCCTGGCAGCAACGGATCCCAAGAAACCGCACACCTCAAGCTCCGGGGAAGCCCGCACCCTTAACTCGGCCAAATTTGGGGGAAGTCCTGAGCTGGGGGTAAACTTGAGCTGGATAAAAGAACTACACCTCTCGGAAGGCCCCAGTGCCCAGGCACGGGAGCCGGGTGCAGGTGTGGGATCCCAGGGATCCCAGGGGTGCCGGAAGCGCGCGCGCCGGGCTTCGCCCTCAGATGTCCCCACGGCGGGGTGCGCTCCGGCCCGGTGCAGAGGAGGACGGGGCGGGTGCAGAGGTCGCCGCCCCCAGCTCCGGGCCGCGGGCCAGCGCCGAGGGCGGGTGGGACGCTGACAGCGGCGCCCGGCCACCTCCGCCCGGCTGGGGCAACTCCGGGAAGTCCCCGCAGCGGTGCAAGCCCGCGGCCACCTCCCGCGTGCCCCGCGCGTCCCGCGCCGACCTGAGATGGTCTCCTGGTAGCCCTTGGTGAAGAACTGCATGGCCGTGGCCGCGCGCCAGGGCGTCTTGAGCAGCCCCTGGCGCTGCGGGTCCTCGCCCAGCGCGCGCAGGATGGACGCGTAGGCGGCGGCCAGCGAGGGTAGGCTCAGCGCGTTGTCCTCCAGGCTGCGCGGCCGCTCGCCCTTCCAGCCGTCGGCGGCCGGCGCGCCCCGCGCCTCGGGGAACCCGTTGCTGCACCGCGCGCCCTGCGGCTTCTCGGCCGGGGCCGGGCCCAAGCCCTGCTCCATGGACCCGCGGTTCCGCTCGGGAGACACCCGGGGCCGCCTCAGGGTCGTGGGCAGCGACCTGTAACCGGAGTCACCCGGGGAAGGCGCGCTCGGAGCTCTGGCAGCAGCTAGCGGGCGAGCGCTGCCGCGCCTCCCTTTTATAGTCCAGAGGCGCCGGGGCGCCGCGGGACGCTTCCATTGGCTGCATCCGCTTGACGTCACATATTGGCCCCGCCCCCTCGTCTTTCCAGGCTTGGGCTCCGGAGCCCCGGGCGCTGCGCGAGACCGGAGTCTGGAAGCCCCGGGCGTCGGGGATAGACAGACAGACGCCACTCGGCTGCAGGGTGCGCAGGGTGCCCTTCTCACACGGCTCTAGCCCCCTCGCCCTGGAAAGATGAGCTAACAGGTGACCTCTCCGGGAAAGAGACCGAGATGTGCCCGAGAGAAGATAGCTCTGCGTGCTTTCTGGTGAAGACCAGAGGACTGTCGTTTGAAACTCCGATGGCCACGAGTGTGTCCGAAGTAAGTCTCTGCCACCTTCAAGGGCCCTCTCCTGTGGGCCCCGCAGGACTGGGTCTGCGACGGCGCCAGATCGCCTGCCAGCTCCCTGTTTAACTTTTGACACCCTGGCCTTGCACAACCGTCAGGTGAAGTCCTCTTCCCACACCAGGAGCCTGGTGGCCTGGGGACAGGTCGCCCCCTGTCCTGTGTGATTTGCAGGAGCCGCTGACTGGCTACGAGGACCCAGTGAGAGAACAGCTGGGGAAAACAAAGATCCTTGCTCCTGATTAGTGACCACAGCCCTAGGAAATAAACTTCGTCCTTGAGATCTGCAAAATGTGACCCCAAAAATGTGTCATTTGGACACAAACCTCCAGCTGGCCACTCACCAACACCCCTCTCCTTTGTAAAAACAGGCCTTTGCTGGGGATATAGCTCAGTAGCACAAGCGCCTGCTTGGGAAGCCCGAGGTCCTGAGTTCAATTGCCAGTACAAAAAAAAAAAAAAAGAAAGAAATATATATACACATATATATACAACAGCCCCTAGATCAGCGTTCCAGAAAAAGGACACAGTGCCAAGCATGGTGACACAGGCCTGTGATCCCAGCACTCAGGAGGCTGAGGCAGGATTGCCTTGCTTTTAAGACCAGCTACAAAGTTGAGTTCAACACCAACCTGAACTGCATAGTGAAATCCTGTCTCAAGAAGACCACAAAAAAAAAAAAGAAAAAAGAAAAAGGACACTTTAGGGCAAGACTCGCTGTCACCTTTCATCAGCTGGTAGTCTATGGTAATAACGTTCCTTCTCTACCACACCCTTGGCTTCACAATGTTTGTCTTCCAGCCATGCACAGAACAACAGCAGTCTTTTGTGCCCTAGCATTTGTGGTGGCCAGAACTTTGACCTGGAAGAAATCGATTTGCAAGCAATATAAATAAATAAATAAAAATTAAAAAGACTTTCATTTAGACCCATTTGTGTTTCGGGGAGATTTAATTTGGGGTTTGATCAATTTACAGTGACGTGCAAAGATCCCTTCCCCTGACGTCGGTACAAATTGTGAAACGCTATGATCAACTGGACTCTTAACCAGTGACATCTGCTTTTGTTGTTTTCTTTTGTGATTAAAGACCTAGACCTTTTTGCTTACTTGAGGGATTATGTCATAATGCAAAGGTAAACTTTAAAATGTCTACCAAATTAAGATCTTTTTTGCTTCAGAAAATTTCTAATGCTGATTTTCTGCCAAATAAACAATTAATAGGTTTAGTATCAGACAAATCAGGAAAGAAGCCCCTGGAATTATTCTATATTAGTAAGGTAGCTCTCTTTTTGTAATTAGTAGGTATTATATGTGTATTCCAGCCATATCCCTGCTCTACACAGAGAAATATGAGAATTGCCTCAGAATCACGTTCAGGCTAAAAGAAAAGAAAAAATTTAGCCAAGTGTGGTAGCACACACCTGTAGTCCCAGCACTGGGAAGGCTGAGGCAGGAGACTCACCTTGAGTTTGAGGCTTGCCTCAGCTACATAGTAAGTTCAAGGCCAGCCTGAACTACACAGCAAAAAGAAGAAAGAGAGGAAAGAAGGAAAGAAGGAAAGAAGGAAAGAAAGAAAGAAAGAAAGAAAGAAAGAAAGAAAGAAAGAAAGAGAGAAAGAAAGAAAAAAGGAAGGACAAAAGAAAGAATTTTCTTTAAAAATAAAAGAATTTTTAAAAATCAGACCCCCAAAATTCAAATACCCAATACCAAAATGGGCATCTGAGATGAATACACACTTCTCAGATGAAGAAATACAAATGGCAAATAAATACATGAAAAAATGTTCAACATCAGTGATCATTTCAGAGATGCAAATTAAAACAACACTGAGATTCCATCTCACCCCAGAGAGAATGTTTGTCATCAAGAAATCAACCAATAACAAACGCGGGAGAGGCTATAGGGAAAAAGGAACACTTCTCCACTGTTGCGGGGAGTGTAGAGTGGTGCAACCACTGTGGAAATCAATGTGGAGATTCCTCAGTAAACTAGGATTAGAGGTCCCATTCCACCTAGCTATTCCCCTTCTGGGTATTTTCCCAGAAGAATTAAAGACCTCACACCACAGTGATATATGTGCACCCATGTTTTTAACAGTGCTGTTTGTCATAGCTAAGTCTTGGAAACAACCCGAATGCCCATCAACTGAGGAATAGATAAAAAAGATGTGGTATTTTTATACAATGAAGTATTACTCAGCTATAAAGAAAGATGAACTCAAGGCTTTTATAGGTAAATGGATGCAACTAGTGACCATACTCATAAGTGAAATAAATCAGACTCACATGTGTAAACATCATATTTTCTCCCTGGTATAAGAAACTGAAAAAGATAAAATAGATATTGTGAAAAGGAAAGAAACTGCTCAAAAGGAAAGAACAACTGGGATGGAGGAAAGGAGAAAAGAAGGGAGAAAAAAATATATATATATATATACACACAGATAGCTAAGATAATTGTATTACTAATTTCTATTAGTTCATTGAAAGGAACACTTAATGCTTATATTGTTTGATCAGTTTTACATGCCTATATCTGGTGGTCTGAGCAACTACTTTGAAAATAACAATATGCAATATAATAACCATTGTTAATTTCCTATCATCTTGTTTTAAAATTCTGTATAGTTTTGTTTTTTTCTAATTCTCTTTAAAATAAAAAACATTAGAAGAAATGTAAAGCTTTGCCTAGCATGTGAGCTCCAGCACAATAAATAAAATTAAATAGAAGAAATATTTGTGTCAAAATTTTTAAAACAAACATTGCATTCCTATATACATTAGATACCAAATTACATTAAAAAAAAAAAAAAGAAAAGAAAAGAAATAGGAAAATCCCTCAGAAAGCTTCTTTGACACTTTCCACTTCTTTGACACTTCTTTTCCACTCTGACACTATTGTAAGTTTTTCCCCCGCTGGCAAGATCTTGCAATATTTTCTCCCTCTGGCCACCCTGCCACTGTCCGCTGCTAACCTCCTGGTCAGAATTACCCAACGGGTCTCAAGCTGCTTCACACATAGCTGCAGACAACATTCAAGGGCTGGCCTTGCGTTCCGCAAGTGGAAATACAGAAAGGAAAGGAGACACTCCCCAAATGGACGGATTAGATGGGCACCCTTTCCGTAAGAACTGTGCTTTGGTGCCAATCTGCCACTTTTCCTGGTACTGGGAATCGAACTCACGACCTCGCACTTGCCAGGCAGGCACTGTGCTGTTGAGCTACATCCCCAGCACTGCCTTGCTTTAAAACACTTGCAAACATTAACAAATATCATGTGCCCTGAAGACAATTTCCAGTTAAGTTTTACCCTAGAAGTGAACATTTTCTTTGAATACTGCTCCTGAGGCATCGACACTTTTGGTGCCCATTCCTAGTACAGGGTCTCCAGATTCATGCTATAATCCTGCTATTATTTGTAAGTAGAGACAGAAAAACCAAAGAAAACCTGAATGAACCCTCCAGCTTCGCTGGCGTGCAGTTGATTGCTTTCATCACCAGTTTTAAAATTCTACCCTGCGAGCACTAAGACTTCCACGTTCCGACCATGGAATTTCCTTCCCTCCACCACCTTCCCCTAGGCCTCAGACCACCCTTTCTTTCCTTCCTGGCTTCCTCCCTCCCTCCTTCCTTCCTTCTTTGCTTCCTTCCTTCACCACCTTGTTTCTTTATCCCATAAATACCTCCAGACTCCTTCCTCAGAAAGGTGGATTTGAGACTTGGGGCTCCCACCCCCTCCACCTGCACGTCAGGAATAAACTCTTCCAAAACCCCTCACGTTCGTGTGTACATAGTGGGCAAGCCGGGCCTCGTTTAGCAACGGTAATGCCTTTCAGCCATGAGACCAAAGGTGATGTTACGGAGTTTTTAAATCGCCACCGTTTCACAAACAGTTTAATAGCAAAATGTAGGTAGCTGGCGGGGTTGATTTGATTGCAAGCAGTAACAGGAGAAAGAGGAGGCATAAACTAATAAAAGGGAAGGACGTAAAGAGAATTATTATTAACACAACACAGATCAATACCAGAACTACGAACACTTGTATCTAGAAATTGTATCCATGTTTCTAACCCAATAGGAGACTCACTGCACCCAGCCTCCCAGTTTCTTTCTATCAAAAAGCCAAGAAGTGATTTTTTTTTTAACTTCTCTCATCTCTAGGGCAGTGGCAAAACAAAATCAGATAAGAATCACACGAGGTGGTGGCTCATGCCTGTAATCCCAGCACTCGGGAGGCTGAGGCAGGAGGATCGTTTCGAGTTCGAGATCAGTCTGGGCTGCAGTGAGCTCAAGGCCGGCCTGAACTGCATAATGAGACCCTGTCTCAAAAAAGAAAAAAAAAAAAAAAAAAGAATCACACAGTGTCAAGACTGATCACTGCAGAGCTATAGTAAGGCACAGTCATTGTCAAAGGCAACGGATGAATTAAAATTAGGCATTTCGTGATGTTCATTGGAAGTAAACGTAAGTGAAAGAAGGTTCCAGATGTGAAACTCAAACTCTGGAGGTTGCTCTGGATCAAGGTGGAAACACACACAAAGGGGCCCTTACCCCGCCGCAGCACCCAGCAGCAGGACAACAGAGTCGCTAAAACCTAAAATGTCTTTAAAATCCATCGTCCAGCAGGCCTGCCCCACCAGCAGCCCGCAGAGGGGACCCACGGAGGGCTCGGGTACATCTCAGGAGAAGGACGGACGCTGCTGCTCCAGGAGCCACAG